TGAGGCAGGAGACTCGCTTGAGCCCAGGAGTGGGAGGTTGCTATGAGCTGTGATACCACAGCACTCTACTCTACCCAGAGGGACAGCTTGAGGCACTGTCTCAAAAAAAAAAAACAAAAAACAGAGCACTTGCCAGGTGCTCCATTGTGGGCTACTGCCTACCAGACTCATGGGGCCACCAGACAACCAGGACCCTTTGAGTCCCCAGTTGCACACTGAGGCCATACCAGCCAAGCTAAGGACCTGAGGATTGCACTGTAGGACCAGCCTATGCTCAGGGCTGGGTCACCTTCATTGTGGGGGTTGCTCCTACTCCAAACCTGGACCTGACTCACGCCTCAGATCCTCCTCCCCTCAGGACCACTGACTTGCCTAGCCACTGCATGGAGACTGCCTGCTGAAGTCACCTCACCTGGCCCTTCACTGTACACTCAGGAGACAGATCTTGAGGAGCCGGAGGCAGGTCTCACTGAGAACCAGAGTCTCACTGGTTCAGTCTCTGCAGCCATGGAGCTCAAGAACAGCCAAGCCTCCTCTTCAGAGGGTTCCTACCTAGCTCACTGTGCTCTATCTCCACTGTTGTCCCCCCTCTCTGTCTTTCCCATTATCTGTTTCCTTGTTTCTCTCAGCTTCTCTCTGCTCTGTCTCTATGACTGTCTCTCATCAGGTGACTGGCTAGAGGAGGGTCCCAGCACAGTGACAGTGTGGGAGTGGAGGTGGTGGGCCTAGGGTTGGTCACCCCTACACGCTGGTCCTCACTCTCACTGCAGACGGCTTTCTTCGAGGCCAGGACTGGGTGATGGTGTCGCTACTCCCACCACAGTCTGACGTCACACTGCCCGGCCCCACCAGACTGGAGGGGGAGCGCCAAGGGGACCTCATGCAAGCACCAGGCCTCCCAGGCTCCCCTGCCCCACAGAGCGTAAGTACTTGGCATTTAGGCCTGGGCTGAGGCCAAGGTCTAAGGGCTGCACCCGGTGGATCAGTCACCCCCAGCCCCAGGGATCTCCCAGGGTCTGTCTTATCCCTTCCACCAGGAAACAAGTACTCAATGACCAGAGAGAGGTCCAGGGTGTTCATCTCTTCAGTCTGGGGCTTTTCTAGGGTAGGGCTGTGGTGCCTCTCAGACTTGGGGTGCCCCAGGTTTAGGAGCAGTATGCCCTCATCACATTGGGGTTCCCAAGGGCAAGCTATACCTTCTCCACCATTTGGTGGCTCGGGGCTGACAGCTCAGCTGCAGACTCCTTTACCCAAGCACTGAGTAGGGTCTTGGGTTCCCAAGACCTGGTCCAACCTCCACTCACAGATTCTCTGCCCTGTCTCCCCAGAAGCATGCTGGCTTCAGCTGCCCGTCCTTTGTGCCTGATGGCCCTCCAGAGAGGGCACCTTCACTGCCTCCACACAGCCCCAGCATTGCGTCACCAGGCCCTGAACAAGTCCAGGGTCACTGCCCAGCTGGCCCTGGCCCGGGCCCCTTCCGACTTTCACCCTCAGACAAGTATCCTGGCTTTGGCTTTGAGGAGAGCTCAGCAAGCAGCCCCGGGCCCTTCCTCAAGGGCAGCCACGTGCCCTTCCACCCATACAAGCAGCATTTTCATGAGGACGTCTTCCCTGAGGCCCAGACTGCCCTGGCCCTCGATGGACACTCCTTTAAAACACCAGGGGTGCTGGAGGCCTTTGAGGAGATCCCTGTGGATGTGGGGGAGGCCGAGGCCTACCTGCCTGGTTTTTCAGCAGAGACCTGGTGCAACGGGCTCCCCTACCCCAGCCTGGAGCACAGCCCCCAAGTCCTGGTGAGTACCAGCAGCCAGTGGGCATCCCACATCCCGCCTGCCCAGATTCCTGACAGCCTAAAAGAGTCTTCTGAGACCAAACTCCAGCCTTCCTTTTTCAAGTCTTGCCACTCAAGATTGGTATGCAGCACGGAGCAGCAAGCTCAGAGAGTTGGGGAGGGTATGCCGGCCTGGCCCCGCATGGAGGGGGAGGCTGGGGGAGGCAGGTCAGGCTAAGGAAGCTGGCAGTTTCCCAGAGGCTCCTGAGTCAGGATTCCAGTGTGTGACTTCTCCTTGTTTGTTTAAGTGTCAAGAATCCCCAGCTAGACCTGCATGCCCATATGCAAATGTGAGAAGAAAAACACATTCCAGAGGCCAAGAGAAAGGGTTTGGGGGAGAGCCACGATTTTTCCTTCTCCAGCCTCAGTGTACAGAGTTGAGAGAGGACTTAAGTCTCCTTGAGAGGTCCTTCATGGCCCCATTCTTTGCCCAGAGTGGGGCCTGGGTGTATTTATAGAAATACCTTGAAAGCACCTTGGAAAGTAAGCGCGTCCTTCCACAGCTGGACCTCCAAGCAGTATGACCTTGGCTCACTTAACCTCTCTGAACCTCATTGGAAAAGTGAGGTTAACTGTACCTACCAACAACGGGATTGTTGCTTTGGCGAGAGGAAAGCTAATGGACTTTTCTGCTCACTCTCCAGTCTGGTATGGAGGTCTCCAAGGCACTGACTAAGTTTGCCCAGCCAGGCTGTGCCTACCCCAGATGCCCACCAGCCCTTCTCACCTCTTGCTTTCAAACAGGCTCCCATTCCAGCCCCAAACCACCACCAACAAAAGCCTATTTCCCGGGTTTGGAAGAAAGAGAAGGCAGTTGGGTGTGGCCAAGACAGGACCTTATTCTGGTTCTGAATCCCTTTGACAGCTTCCTCTGAGGCCCCTTGAGCATGATAGCAGCCCACAGTGAGGACACCATCATCTCAGCTGCTGCCCCCAAAGGTCCACTCAGTAGCAGCTCCTGACCATTCTCCTAGGTGCTTTCTTTCAAGTGCCCCAATTAATCCACTCAATGGGGTGTCCAACATTTTGGCTTCTCTATACCACATTGGAAAAAGAGTTATCTTGGGCTATATATTAAATACACAAACTCTAACAAAAGCTCATGAACAAAAAGAAAAAAAAAAAAGAGGTCCATGCATACAATTTTAATGATATCCACCACTACAGATAAGTATTTTCTTATAATCTATATGTGGCCAATGGCCCTTGGGTTAGATATCCCTGCTAGAGAAGTTCCACTATCCTATTTTGCAGATGAGGAAACTGAGGTTCACAGAGGCCAAATGACTTGCCCAAGGTGTCTGTGATTAAGTCCACACCCTCACCCTTCACAAACAATGGGAAAGAGCACCAGAGACACACAGCTATCTGGTTGACTTGCCAGGTGACCTTGGGCACATCACTTCCCCTCTTTGGGCTCACCTGACAGCACCTGCCAAATGAAGGGGTTGGACATGAGTGCCCTTGGCCCTTCCAGGCCTAAGATTCTGTGATTATGGCAATCTCTGCATCAGCAACCCCAGGGCATGCCCAGAAAGAGGTCACAGCTTATTTGCCCCTGTGGGTCCAGATGCTGGTTTCCCAAGGCCCCTGGTAAGCCCAGAAAGAGCCGGCACCTCCTCCTGAGCTATTATTTACCTTCCATGTTCATCTTGAATATGCTCCTGTCCCTACTCAGGGGAGACAAGAGAGAGTTCTGTGCTAGGCCCTAGCAACTCCATGTGGGCCTCAGGACGCTTCCCTCACACGGGAAGCCAGAATCTGGTCATCACCACTGGCAGACTTCTATGCCCAGCACCAGGGCATACACAGGACTCAGGCAGACCAGGAATGGCAAACTCCCTGTAGCAAGGATCAAAGACTCTGAGTTGGGAGTGGCTAGGAGAAAAGCCGAGAGGACTCAGCAGCCCCATCCAGATAGCCTGCTGGAGCTTTCCGGGGCTTTACAGGAAAGGAAATAGCAGGGACTCAGACCCATGCAGCGGGTGCCACCTGTGCTCCCCTCACCAAGCTCCTTAGTGAAAATCCTGGAGCTGTGGCCTTTTCCAAGAGTCCTTTGTGGACCTGCTCTGAGAGGCTGGGGCCCTTGAACCAGTAAGGAGGCCCTAAGCTAGGTGAGTGGGGTAAGGCCCTGCACCCTTGTGCCATTCCAGAAGATCTCCAGCCCTACCCTAGCCTCAGTGCCACAACTGACAAGTCTCCCACACTTTTGGGGATAGCCCAGCCTCAGCCTCTCACCTGCAGTGAGGTAAAGGGTAGGGATGCGGTCAGTTCCAGGCTCAGCTCTACCGCTAAATTGCTGAGCGCTCTTGAGAAAATCCGTGCCTTTCTCTGTTCTCTGCTGTTCTCCAGAAGTAAGCTTTGAGAGAAGCAGCGGGGCTAGGTGTTACTTTTGTGTTAAGATTCAGGACATGGGGCAGTCCCTGTGGCTCAAAGGAGTAGGGCACTGGCCCCATATGCCAGAGGTTGCGGTTTTGAACCCAGCCCTGGCCAAAAATTAAAAAAAAAAAAAAAGATTCAGGACATGGTAAAGAGAAAGGGAGAAAAACAAAGCCCAACCTGGTCATCTGTTTTCTCTTCCAACAGGGCTCAGAGGTCAAGGTCAAGCCCCCAACTCTGGAGAGTGGCCCTGGGATGTACTGCTACCAGCCCCCCTTGCAGCACATGTACTGCCCCGCCCAGCCCCCCTTCCACCAGGTGGGTCTAAGGCACGTGGGCATGCTTCCCCAGGGTAGCAGGATATCATGTGTGTGCACCTTCATGGGCAGGTGAGGGCAACAGGGTCCTGAACCTCAAGGCCAGGCCACCCTGGGGTAGGGGCAGTGGCTACTGAGCCATTGCCCTTCTCTAGGGGTGGGCTTGTCTGAGTCCCTGGCAGGGCCTGAGAAGTCTCAGATATGAGAGCAAGGCTGGAATTCAGGCAGGGCCATGGTGTAAACAAAAAGGGGAGGGGGGAGAGGCACTCCAGACCAGGAGAGGGACAGAGACAAGAGGAGTGTGTGGGGTGACACACAAGGCCTAGTGGGGCAAGGAACAAAGGCTCCCTTCTAAGTCAGCCACCATCTTGCTAGGTGACCTTAGCCTCAAACTCCCCTGAAGCCTATAGAGGGTGAGGGTGGGGCCTTCCCACCTAGAGGGCTCCAAGTTCCCATCATCTTTGGCCCTTTGCCCCATCCCTGCTTCAGCTCCTCCCAAATGCACAGGATGCCAGATAGTCATCCCACACTGGCACGGGATGGAGGATTTTTAAAAGAGAAAGAAAAGAGCCCCAGAGCAGCCAGGCAGCTCCCAGGAGTCACCGGGCAAGACAGAGCAAGTGACTGCCCAGCGCCCAGCTCCATCCACCTGCAGCCTGGCACTGAGACAGGCCCTGCCTGTGGAGCAGGTTCTACTCCTGGCTCTTTGGCACTGGCCCTGGTCTTGGCCAAGACCGGGAGGCAGGCAGAGGAGGAGGGGTCAGAACGTCTGCTTTGGGGAAAAGAAAGAGATGGAGGGAAGCAAAGGAAATGTATGAAGGGACATCCTTCCTGCCCTGAGCGTCCTCACTGGAATAGCCTAAGCTATGCTGAGGCTCATGGTCTGAACCAAGGTAGGGGATATCCCTGTAGCATCCTGCCCATCAGAGACTGAGCCACAGCAGGATAAAGGGCTACTAGACCTTAGATGGCCTCACCATGCCTGGCCCTGCTTTGATGCCCTCTGCCGTCCACACCCCCTCTTGAACAAGATGGCCGCACCCAGGGCTTTATGAAGCCTGGAGAGATGGTGACTCAGGCTCTAAGTGTCTCTCGAGTGACCTGAAAAGAGCACTTCAGCCTGGAGCAGCTGGGGGTGTCAGAGTCTCCAACCCCCTACCCCCATAAAACTCTATCCCTGGCACCACAGCCACTCCCTGTGCCATAAAACCACCTCCTACCCCCACCTGCCCACCACCATGACCAGCCCTTTCAAAGAGCCATTGAAACTCATAAAAGGTGGCAGTGCCCAGCAAACACCCAGGTTGGACATCCACTTCCAGCCCAGCCTCCCCAGGAGATGCAAGGGAGGCCTGGAGCACCTGCCTGGAAGGGTGCAGGGGCTGGGGGCTTCCCCTCATCCCTTCATCCTCTCCACTCCAGGCAGGCCTCCCTCTATCACCATGGCAACCAGAGCATCTAAAGGACTGGGGGGAAGGAGCTAGAGAAAGGGGGCTTTGAGGACTCTGAGATCCTCCATTCCAGAATGTGGATCTCCTCACAGACCTTCCAATACCCTCACCGTTGGCTGCCCCCTCGAATAGCTCTGCCGTAGGGGTGGTAGAGCCCGTGACCAGAAAGGGAAGAATCTGGCCTCAGCTCCTTCTTTGGATGTATGTGCATTAAGGGAGGGAGGGCACCCTTGGAAAAGCTGGGAACCACTGCAATCACTCTACCCCCTTTGACCTCTACAGTACTCGTCAGGTGGTGGCAGCTACCCTGTACCCTACCTGGGCACCTCACACTATCCTTACCAGCGGATCGCACCCCAGGCCAGCAATGATGGGCACCAGCCTCTCTTCCCAAAACCCATCTACTCCTACAGGTACATTTCCCAGCACTACTGGGGTAGAAGGAGGTGGGGGTGAGTGGGCCCCTGGGGAAACTGAGGCACAGAATCCTCTGGATGTGAGGGTAAGATCAGGGGATGAAAGTCATACCCAATGGGCTTCCAGAGGGTGCTGAAGAGAGGATTCCTGCACAGAACAAGGGGGATGGACTGGACCACCTCTGGCTTTTTGTCTAAGGAACCAAAGCCAGATTCTCTCCCTGGTAATGGGCTCCACCACCCTTATGGCAGAACTATCCACAGTCTAACCCTGGGGAGTTATGTTGTGGCTCAACTCAGCAGATGCTGGTGACCTGGGGTAAGCCTGCGGAGCTCTTACCTCCTGGGGCCCAGGGCCTGGGGCTGAGTTTAGGGGGAATGCTCCCTATCTTCCCCCCCCCCTCAGATACAGAGAGGAAACTCAAAAGTTTTCCTAGAAATAAATGAGGAATGAGGCCTGTAGATGTGACTCAGTTTTGTAGCATCTGCCAGACCTGGTGGGACTTCTCTGGGGCTGGGGGTTTAAGGGTCAGTAGATCTAGTCTGTCCAGGAGACACTTCCATTGCTCTTTCATTCATCCAGCCAATGACACTTGATCTAATGTATGCAAGTACCCATATGGGGTCAGGTCATCAGCTCAGGGGAAGAAGAGAAACTTATCAGTCAGGAGCACAGAAAAGGGGTTTGTGAAAGGCAGCATAATGCACAGAAGGGAGCACGTCCAGGCCTTGGGGTCCAGCAGAACTGGGTTCCAGACCAGACTCTGGAATTTACTAGCTGTGAAACCTCAGGCAAGTTACTTAATCTCTAAGCCATTATTTATTCCTCTTTATTCTGCTTTAGAAAATAATCAGGTTGGGGGGCAGCAATTCAGGCTGTTGGAAGTATTAAGTAAGAGAATGTAGGTACCATGCCTGGCTCATTTTAGGGGTTCAAGAAACCTTAGTTTCCTATCTAAACATTCATGCAGTTGGCTAAGGTCTATGTGCTAGGCATCACCTTTAATCCTCACTACTCTGAGGCCCCTATTACTTTCTCCACTTCAAAGTTGAAGTAACTGAGGCTCAGAGAGGTTAAAGCATTTGCCCAAGGTCACACAGCTAGTACAGATGGCTAAGCTAGGGTAGACACCCAGGTTTCTCAGATTACACAAGACTCTCATATGTCTGTAATTCCTGACTTCACTGTGCACTTCAGTGGTCACTTTCTCATCCCCTCCCCCTTCAACCTTCCAACTCCCACCTCATAGAGCCTCTTACCAGGGGTGGGGGTTCTGGTGGGCTCGGGACCAGTCAGAGGTTCAGACTCTCAGGGACTTTCTCTGTCTTCAGCATCCTCATCTTCATGGCCCTTAAGAACAGTAAAACTGGGAGCCTTCCTGTGAGCGAGATCTATAATTTTATGACGGAGCACTTTCCGTACTTCAAGGTAAGCCTCAGACCCATCTCTACTCTGCTAACCCCAAGT